TTTATTTCAGAATCGGTGATAACATCCGCTGCCATTGGTTTATTCCCCATTCCTTTCTTTTTTAAATCTTTTTGTTTGGTTTTGAGCGCCTCTCTCGTACCTGCGAACTGATGACTGGAAATCAAACTATACCCATATCTATGACGTTTTAAATACCTTTCAAACGAGCCAAGCATCCCTCTTAAGTAACTGGGTTGATACTCGCTACCATCTTTCTGTCGTACACAAATTAAAAATTTTGAAAGGTGCGAATCGAGTTCGGTAGTTGGGATTTGGTGCATTTGGCGCAATTCGTTTACGTCGTTCAGAAAATGTTCAAACAGTTTCATATGACAAAGAGTTTTCTTTTTCGTGTTAATATTCTCGTTTTGGTCCACAAAGTTTCTTAAGTCATTTTCGTCCATGTTAACAAATCTACCGGCAACGCGTGGGGCTGTGGCAGTCGCCGTCTGCTGAGGAGAGCCCGGGGGCGCCGGGGTTGTATGTGATCGTCGGGGGGTCAACATTGATTCAGATTGTCCCTGCTCTAACTCATGTAGCATTGCCTGTGTTTCTGCATGGGATATTTCACTCAGATATTTGCTCACATCAAAATCAAGCATATCAAACTCAAGTTCGTCGTCTGCTAGCCCTTTTACCAATTCATGCTTCGACGCTGTAACGATAGTACCGTTACCAAATAATTGCACTTTGTACATAACATACGTTCCTAATGGTTTAACTTCATCTACAATTCTTCCCTTTTCACCATTTCTTCCTACGGTAACACATTCGCCTATTTTGAATTGTCGGGATGTTGAGCTTGCCATTATACAGTGTTTGTTTACATGTGTATTACATGTGTGTAAAAGGTGATGATGTAATCGTTTTTGCTGAAAGTGCACAGGGTCACAGGTCATGGTGAAAGAAGTGCGTTGTCTGTGACGTAATAGCGCGTGTCAGCTGTCTTGATCGAGGTAGATCAAGACAGGTTTATCTTTTCCCTACCAAAAACGGGAATGAACCTGTGAAGGGTGGGAGAATATTCCCGTAACTTCACCTTGAAATAATATTTGGGGAAAATATAGAAATTAAAAAAAAAAAATGGTGAGAAACCACCATCATCAAATATACTTTTAATCTCATGAATTCATAAAAAGGAATGTGTTTTTGCGTCGTGTAGGTTTAGTGATAACATGTTAAATGTAATGTACGGTTGAGTTCCAAACGGATGCCATTAGAAGTTTAATTCCATTTTAAAACGAATTATCAATATTCACGAATGTGCCTATAAATACATCTGCATCCGCCGCTGTGCAAATAACACGCGAGCGCTGTATAGGTAAATACAGGTCAGAGTTAGGGTCAGAGACCGACACGCTTCCGCGAGCAAGTACATCTAAATCTAAGTACGTTAATTGTCTGCTATGAACTGCGTTTTAGGAGCGTGTTTAACCAAACGGTCTGTATGCGTTTGCGTTGCGTTTCCGTTGCGTTTCCGTTGCGTTTGCGTTCCGTTTGCGTTGAGTTTGCGTTGCGTTTGCGTTCCGTTTCCGTTGCTTTTGCGTTCCGTTTGCGTTGCGTTTGTGTTTAAACGTACAAGAAGAACGGTCCAGGGTCAATATAGAAAGATAGATGTATGTAGAAAGAAAGATAGATAGATAAGATATATAGATAAGATAGATAAACCGACAGACAGACAGACAGACAGACAGACAGACAGAACAATGTATAAAATAAATGCAACAGTATCAAATCTTTCTGAATCATCACACTCTAAAAACAGAAAGCCTTATTTTAGTCTTCTGATATTCAAACTTTGTTAAATTATTTTTCAGATGAAGGCTGTGCTAATTTCCATTGCCGTCGTGGCTTGTTGTATGATTGCTGTCAGGGGCGAGGCCTACGGTAACTATGGAAACGGACAGTACGTGCAAAAAGGACATACCAACCAATACAGCAAGGGTGGATACGCCAAGGGATACTCCACATATCCGACGTATTCCGGATATTACTCCGGATATTCCGGATACGGGCAAAACCCAGTTGCAAAGAAGGAGATTATTTTTGGGGCACCTTTATTCGCTCCTCCCCCCGCCGCTCCTTTACCAGCCGATAGTGGTTCCTTATTCGGCGGTGATGGGACAATTTTTCGTAAGTAATTTTTCGTGGCAGTTTTTGAGTTAATTAAGATTATGAGTATATCCTAGTTGGCATTTTAGAATACCGAGCATATACTTATAGGTGATAAGAGCTAAATGCGATTAAAATCGTGATAAGATGTATATTTGTTGTATGTACTGTCATTTGATAGTTTTTTGGAACGCTTTGGCAAGGCCGTATAGATTTATTCTAAACAATATGGGAACCTGTTAGTAAAAAGCATGCATAATTAATAAGCAGCAATGTAAGTTTGTTACATATTAACAAATACAAACCCTTGTTTGATATTGTAAACGTATAAAAGCATATTTTTTTTAAAGATGTATCATATAAATATTTGATTATAAACTATTTTGTATCTATGTATAACCTGTCATAGTTTGGCGAGGCTAATTTCGTGTTTTCATCATACTCTATCAATTATGATTCCGTTTACGTTTCAGTGTTCCTCCTGTTTCTGCTCCCTATTCTTCTTAATGACAACCTCTCTGGTTAAGAACGGGCTGCCCAGTAAGTCAATGTCTGTCTTATGTAAGTATATACACATTATATTTACATTTGCATGGCGTTGTCACTATCTAGGATATTTGAAAGATGTGTCGTTGATGGGACTTTAAATACTATGCGCCACGAGACATAATTCTTAGCGTATTACTACAACACCGACCGGAACTACAATATCCAATGTAACTAAACATAACGGCTGCTGAAATATCGCTGGGCATTGTGAGACTTGACAATGTAATTGTAAATGTGCAAAAGAAAAAAGAAAATATAAAAAACAACTTTTATTACAACAAAAACAAGACCAAAGTCTGCAATATCGTACAAAATGCACACCGGTTTAAATAACCAACTTTAACACCCATGCAATTCATCAGAAATATCGTCTGTTACACTGCACTGATCAACAGGAGTTCGTTACAAATGTCTGAAATACATATATGCTATAGACCTACTGACATATATGCTATAGATCAACTGATATGAGTCACAGCACACATAAACATACACATGGCATATGTGTATTTCAGACATTTGTAACGAACCCCTGTGCTCCGTCGCAAGATCACTCACCTCAAACGCTTTCAGTATCAGGCGTCTCGCAGCCACGGTTTCCTCAGTTTCTGAAGACATGTCAAATAACGAGGCTGTTGTAGAATCTACCGACTGTAGTCAGATTCCTATACAATCAACAAATAAATTCACGTCTGGATTCTTCACAAATTCGAACTTTCCTCTCTGCTCATTTAACTTCCAAAAATAACTCACTCCCCCGTGGAGGGCAAGGTCGGATTTACGCTGTTCATTGTATTTATCCATGCGCATCATAATGCGCTAGCACGCATTATGATGTTTCTTGCAAAGCTGTGTCATTTAAATAGATCATAAATACAATACAAAACCAGTTCAATACTTAAATGTCAAGTGTTCAGTATCGAAAACTTTCCATACTTCACGGACATCTGAGATTGATAATAATAATAATAGGCCTTTCATTCGATACAGTCAAGGTAAGGTTGAAGGTAAATGCATTAGGCTGCTTAACATACTCATCTGATAAGAAATTAGAAATTTTATTTCATGCTGATTTTATTTAATAATTATCATACAAGTATCGGTTATTGCCTCACACATGAAATTGGATATTAACAATTAATCGTTTTTCGGTCAGCTGTATCCAAAAACCTTTACCATTATACTAGTTTGTACGTCTATTACATTCCTGAAACATGTAGGTTTAAGCTACGTTATATGTTTTACATGTATGTACAATGTATATTAACAGCATTTTTACGTTTTTATTTTAGGTATCACACACTACGGGAAGATGATGCAGGTTTCATGGGAATATTCTTCGGATTGCTTTTTTTTTTAATAATATGTCAAATAAAAAATTAAATATTTTTTAATTAAAATAAAAATATGAGTATATGTGTTTTATTTTCTAAAGTTAACAATGTGCGAATATATTTAGACATTCATGCCAATGACGATATCTGTGTTTGTAAATATAACTGTAGTAAGACCACTAAATGACAAAAAATGTATAAAGAACAAAAAAACTGCATGTACATCACCACACAGATGCTGATGTTATCTTCCACAAAATTAACAGCAGTATCATTATATCTTCTGGACATTGTTAAGAGTTATGACACTATTCCGTCAATTTTCGATATGTATCAGATTAGCTAAATCCCTTCGTGACGTCACATTTAACGAGATGACGACATGAATCAATGGCAAACCGTTAAATGGATTCATATGCATTTCTAAATATAAAGATTTGTGAGAGTAAATAGTTTTAATAAATACTATTTAAGGTAGCGCATATTTTAAAACAAAATAGATTAAAGTAGGGCACCCTGAGCAAGGCCTCTGAAAGAGTGATTTAAGACAAACTTATATCTTTTGTAAGTAAGGATTGAAAAGAATACTCATTAGAAAAACAAAGCTAGGAAACGCATATTTTGAAATGTTGTGAGTCATTGCAGCAAAATTGCAAAACAAACTCAACATTCACTGCAATATTCCGTCAAATAAGGACTCGTCAGTGTTACTATAGATCAAAAAATAAATATGCGATTCAAATGTGCACCGAAATGTGTACTTAGAAAAACAGCGAAAGGAAAAAGTGCCCATAATAAAACCATTAATATAATAAAAACTGTTATTTTGACTACACCAGATAATTTAGTCGAAGTAGTGTTTTAAAAGTTTTATTATATGCATGATCATTTCTCGCAATCACATTGGTCGGATCCTATTCCGTCTTTGCGTATTGCAGAGTTTTCTTCTCTTGGGGGGGCAGGTATTGATTGTTACGTCATTGGTTTGTGTGAGAAAATTACGTCGTTTTCTCAAAAATTGATGACTTTACTCTCTAAAACAAGTGACGTAACAATCAATACCTGTTCTCAAGAGAAGATAAGTCTGCAATATGCAAAGACGGAAAACTCATGTAGACTGGTTATCCGGTGAATATCGATTTCTAAAGATAGCTTGTATGGAAATTCCCCGGAACCTGTCGTAGTGCATGCGCAGTTAGACTGGAACGCGATCTGTCAGACGACATTAGAAGATGGCTGCGTGCGAACGTTTCTCCTCCGTTAGGAAAATTACCAAAACTATTCGAGGATAAAGATACGCCTCAGTCAATATCACTCTTTCAGGTTCATATCACATCATATTCACCAGCACAAAAGTCCATAATTGTATAATATAAACTATATGATAAAAAAAACGAATTTCATACCTATCAAACTCCATTTAATCGTATAACAAACTGTAAACGCATGGTTTTGTTATAATTAACTACTTATTGTTTCATCATTTAACATTACAACATTATATTGTAAAAGGTCGTCTCAAAATAATCTTAATTTGTAAAAATGCGATTCAGCAAATGTGTCTTGTGTTCAAACAAATTTTTGTTATGTCTTCATATGTTTTTGACATTTTAAAGGGGGTTTGTGGCCTATGTATAATGTTATTTTATTTTCATTGACAGAATTGAGCCCGTTTCGAATGTTGATATTCTACTTAACATGCTTATATTTGGTTTATTACGAAAATCGAGGAAAAGTGTCTTCTTTTAGAGACATATGAACCTAATTTGTCCCCATTCTTAAGACATTATAAAAACCAAAGAAATGAAATCAAAATATATATTTAAATTTATTCAAAGTTGAAATATGAAGGGAAAGTGTAAGTTCATTACACAGATATGTATTAATAACCCTTTAACCTCGCCCAAACATGAAATTGTTAGAAAAGGCTGGATCAGATAGAAATAAAGCGGGTTATTTAGAAGATTAGTTTTGAAAGTCTGAAACGAATATTTGTATAAGAAACGGGCGGTGCTTTCATACATATGTGGTATTTGCAATGCTATGATCCAGATAAAAGTACCAAATAAATTACCATTTCAACCTGATCGATGTACATTACAAAATTTGTACTTTTGTTTCTCCTATAAAACTAAGTTGATGGTACCAATACGTGCAGCGATTCTTAAGATATATAGAATAATGTTCGACAGATGGACAACACTTTTACACAAGGTTTCACATGTACAAAGTGGGCTTCACAGAGTGAGCTTAACACAAAGCTTCACAGAGTGAGCTTAAAACAAAGCTTCACAGAGTGAGCTTAACACAAAGCTTCACAGAGTAGGCTAAAAATCCACTAAAACATTTGATTTTCTAAACAATTGTATTGACTAAAACGCATAGGGGTTTCATTTGTACATTAGACTGTATTATAGGTGTATTACCTTGATATTATCTGTAACAGTTTGAGCAACATGGATTGAAGCGGAACTCACTTATGAGGACCGCAGAATTAGTAAATATATAATATAGACAAGCAAGTTTAAAAACATAAGTTATTCATGGAACGCCAAATTGCATCCTATGTAGGTCCTGATGGATTACAATAAAACTGGAAATACTTAGTCAGTCGAACTAATTTCACAATTCAGTTATCCGATGAAGATAGCAAATAAAAGCAGCCATTTACCATATAATATAGTCATTTCGTCCACTCCGTACTCAACAGGTGTACTTGAGGTCAATATCATGTTCAAAGTGATTAAAAGCATCTGTAGAAATACATGTAGCGGTAAGATACCTTTTAAACCCTTCAAAAAGTTGGAACTTTACCAAGTTTGGAAAATGCAGTACATTAAAAGATGTGTCAAAATATTAATTCCAGCTATAATAATGAATTACCGATCTGCAATTCTTAATGAAATTATGCGGGGTCAGTATCATATAAATGTTTTATGCAGTTAGTATGCACGCGAACTAATGCTTGACCCTTAAGTTTCTGCTTATTGAAAAGTAAGCAAATGGTGTACACATTTAAATAGATACATCCTGTAGTACAGGCTATCACGCTGAAAAATGAAAAAAATAGAAAATCCATCAATTCATTACTCGATGAAGATTCCCCATGTTCCAATAGCAGGCAGTAAAATAGCTAGGAGTGGGCAATACTATTGCATTACCAATATATACCAGTATATATTGCAGTATCTGTCTAGCAATGTTTCAATTTAAAATTCTTCATTTTATCTTGAGCATATACATCTCATCGATTCAAAGGAAAATTTCATAATGTACATTAAATATCAGCACAGGCTGTAAGATACACATATTGTTATATAACTTATGACCAGAACATATTGCAATATTTTTTTCAGCTAAATTTGAGAGGTTCAAGCACATTTATGCATTTATCTTACAGAAACAGTGTTCATCAGTGATACATGCTCCACGCATTCTCTCTCTTTTTGGTTTCGATATCAGATAGTTGTAAATACATCACACTTCTAGGAATGCAATATGTGTAGGTGATAATCCTAATGTCATGATTAAACTGTTGCAAATATCCGTTTTACTGGCGACGCGGAGCAGAGCCAGTATATTAGAATGTTTTCTAAATATTACAATATGTTGAAATTCAAAACATTTCGTGCATTCCATACCCCTAAAATACTGAATGAGCAGTGAATATAAAGATGCATGTCTATGGCGATCGTAATTCCCATCATGTTAATTGTGTGACAACAACACACACTCGCCTTTTCACCATCCTTTGTCATTTTCTTTTAATAATCTTTGAATTACTAGGTTTACAATAAACAGTTTAATATTAATTTATTCCTTATTTTAAGAAATGAAAATCATAACAAATGATAAAGAGTCATATAACCTACATAAACGTCAGAAGTGAGGAGTATACAGTTCTTCTCATAGCATGAATTTTATTTTGATGTCTTAGTAAAGTCATTTTTCATTGGTCACTAGCCAAATATTATTTCAATCAAATACACACTAGAATAACATTGATACAAAATTGTGAAGATATTAATATGTAAACGTACCTTCCTTTATGATTGGTTCTGTTTATAACAAGAAAAAAAGAATTATTGAAGACATTTATAAACATGAGTAAAGCTGATACTTGTGAGGCATTAGTTAAGTTTTCATATGAAAATGGGTTCATAATTAGATCTAGCATAGCATTAGCATATCACCGATTAAATCAAATCACTTATAACAGTTGCATGCATATTTTAGGCTGCCCATTAATACAGACCGAATGAAAGCAGGATGAAGGTCGTACGGCCCTCTGAGACAGCAATATAATTTATAAGCAATTATGAAACGATACATATAGATGATGTTGGAATTAATTATTTGAATTCGATAATAATGTAACAAATATCATGTCATCATGTCATGCATACAACTTTCGTATTTTCTCACTATTGTAAATCCTCATTATAGTTACTCAATGCACATACTTCGATTCATTGTTAATTCGTCATCTGTAAGCTCATCATTCCCGAACAAAAGTAAATCAGTTGATAGTGGATGGTTGATTGCGTTAAATGTATGTAAACGTAGTTGAGAAAAAAGACAACAATGTAATAGATAATGTTCATTGGTTTCATTTGCTTGCATGCAAGAACACAGAGGACTACCAATTAGATTTCTCTGGTACAGCTTAAACCTAAGGGAACTACACTCCATACTTAATCTAGCATGATATATCTGCCCCAGTCTGGTACCATTAAAGTAGAAAATTTGAATTTTGTGAGCGGGCTTGCGTAGATAGGTTTTAAGTTGAAGGGTCGTTCTTGACATAGTCAGACAAGGAGTTTCAGATACTGATGACAGATGGCAAAACAGATTTATTATAGAGACTCGTATGACTAACTAGTGGACGAAAATTAGTACCCGTGCGAGTATCATGGGTGTGGTAATTACGGTTACGCTGAGGTAGAATATCTAGAAGATATTGACGAGCCAGACCATGAACCATTTTGTGGAAAAGAATAAGCTTGTGCTGTTTACGTCTTTCCTCGAGGGGAAGCCAACCTGTTTCAGTATACAGTTTAATTCTACTTGTGAGTCTAGTGCAGCCAGTGACTATGCGTGCTGCTTCTAATTGAAGATTTTCTAATAATTGAGATTGAGCTTTAGTAAGGCAGTCCCATAAGATATCGCCATAGTCTAATAAAGGTCGAATAAGAGTGTAGTACATAGTTTGGAGACTATACCTGTCCAAAGAGAATTAAAATTTACGTAAGATATTTATTTTACGTGAAATCTTAGATATCAAATAACTGATGTGTTCATTCCAATGACCAATTCCAGAGAGAAAAATACCTAAACGCTTGCGTGTAGTAACTTCAGAGATGTAAGTATTGTTCATATTTAAGGGAGGATGAAAAGGTTTAATGGTTTTTCTACTAATGAGCAGGGTTTCAGTTTTGGAAGGGTTAAAATTTACTAACCATCTTTGCGACCAGGTATGAAATTTATTAAGGTCACTATTAAGATTATCTGCGCTGACTCTAGGGATATCAACAGTGACGTAAAGAGAGGTGTCATCAGCGAATAACTTTATTTCAGCTTGTTTATCTTTAACAATGTCATTTATATATATCAGAAGTAAAAGAAGTCCAAGAATTGAGCCCTGTGGAACACCAGCCTTAACATTTAACCAATTTGAGTTTTTACCATTGATGACAAATCTCTGCTTTCGATCGGAAAGATAATTTTCAAACCAAACTAATAGCGAATTTCAAATCCCATAGCTGGATAATTTACAACGAAGGCCTTTATGCCAAACACGATCGAAAGCTTTACTAATATCACAAAAGACCATACGTATTTACTTACCATTGTCTAAGACTAAATATATATCATGAATGATCGCAAGAAGTTGATTTGTTGGTGAGTCACCGTGCCTAAAACCAGATTGATGGGGGGATAGGAGGGAGTGAGTGTGCAAAAAATTGTAGACATATTTGAAGACACATTTTTCCATTAATTTACCAACGATCGATAGCAGTGATATAGGTTTGTAATTAGTAAATATAGACCTGTTATCTTTTTTATGCACATGGGTGACGTTAGCAAACTTCCATACAGATGGGAATACCCCAGATCTAATTGACCTGTTAAAGAGATTTCTTAAGGGGACACATATGATAATTACTGATTCTTTAAGAAGACGAGGATTTACCAGGTCAGGACCAATGGCCTTAGAACAGTCAGTGGTAAGAATAGCATCTCTGACATCATTAGCTGTGATGTTAATATCAGATAAGGAATTATTACATTCGTCGTTAATGTTAGGGAGATTTACATTGGAGTCATCAACTGTAGACTGGGCACAAAAGAGGTCATTAAATAAGCAACCTTTCTCAAAGTCATCTGAGACAGCGCTATTATTATGAAGCAATGGTGGTATGCAAAATTTACCAGAGTTAGGTAATAGTTGCTTTACAGTTTTCCACCATTGTTTGGCACTAATGTTAGAAGGTTTGCGAAGTTTGCTACATAAATTAGAAAAATATGTTAATTTGGCGTGCTTGATTGTGTTAACACATTTGTTATGAAGTCGACGAAACTATGCCCACTGAGCTTCAGTAAGGTTACGCTTGGCTTTTTTATGAACGCGCTTACGTTTACGAATTAATCTCCTTATTTCGTTTGATGGCCAGGGGGGTTCATAAGATCTGATGGTTATTTTATTATTCGAAATACAATATTTAGCAATAGTAAGTAAAATATCTAAGAAATTTTTGACAGCATCATTAATCTAATCAAATTCACTCAATAAATTCCAGTTAACTGAGCTTAGTTTTTCCCTAAATAAATCGTAATTTCCTAGGTCAAAAAGCCAAACGTTTCGCTTAAACACCTGCTGCACTGGCTTTGAAATATTAAAAGAACAGTAAATTGGACAATGATATCTAACCGGTTGGTCAAGGTAGCTTTCTCCAACGTAACATTTATTAATAAGGTTATTACTATTAGTACAGATTATATCTAACAATGACTCAGAGGCTTCTGTGATTCAACAAGCTGAGTTTGATTAAATGAAACAAGTATATCGCGTAAGTGGGACGAATGATGGTCTACTAGGGCATTGCATTCAAGTCGCCGGTTATCACAATATGATAAATGCCTGTATTATACGCTTTTTCTATAGAATGCGAGATATGGGACCATATGATGACAGGAGAGTTTGGAGGCCGATAAAATGTACCATATAATATGTTCTCTGAACCAAGTACTTTTTTTTACCAGACACATTCAATGGTAGCTATCTCTAAATCTGATCTTCTCTTTGCAGGAATATTATATTTTACATAAACCGTTATACCACCGCCCATTCGATCAAGTCTGCAGTAGCAGAATGGGTCAGAATATCCAGGCAGGTTAAGGTCAGATCAGATATCTTTTAAATTTAACCATGTCTCAGTAAAGGATAAAATTGTTATATTACTTAACTCGGTGTAAAGAATATCGAGTTTTTGTTTGAGACTTTGAACATTAAGATGGACAAATGAAACATTACTGACTGCATCGAGCTGGCCACTAATATTCGAAAATATAGATGAGGAAGACGAGCTAGAAGACATGGGACCAGGATTCAGTTCTATATCTCCAGATAACAACAAATGCCAATAGTCCAAAGCACGACGTAGAGATATAGATAATTTATCAGTAGCGGACATGATAGAGGAGGAGATGCATGTATATTGTAAGTTGTTCTGCACAGAGAACGAGAACTGGCCAATAAGATTTATACAAAAGGTTATTATGAACAGCTCCCCCCCGAAAACCCCGAAAGTGATCTAATTAAAAAACTGACATCTCAATCAAATAGATTCAGCATTTCATGAATATTTAGGAGATAGTTAACGTTCAGATTGCAGAATGTGTCATCAGAAACTGCAACTTCTTCGTAGGATAGTGTACACAAAATTATGTTAACAACGTTAACACTATGTCAGATTAACAACATGAGAAAATACGATTTTTATATATAACTATTATAACATAATCATAAACAAATATAAAAAATGTAGTGCAAATAAAACAACAATAAACAAAAAACAACAAATAATCGCGCCTAAGATTATCCATATTAGTACAGTTATGATTTCTTTGGATGGGATGCTGCCAGACAATTTTGCAACACAGCGTACACAGTTATATATGTATGTAGCTCATGCCTGTCATCGGTGCAAATTTATGTATCCCATCTTTGTTGCTATATTACTAATAGAAGTCATCGTACTTCATATTGGTTTAATATTCATCTCGTCTTCAAAAATTGTGAACTTAAAATGCTACATTTTTTCTTTGTTATCAATAAAATGACCTTTAACGTTATTTCAAATCTTAAAGTGTTTTTTTAGGGGGTAGGGTGTTAATAAGTGCAACAAAATAGCTTCTGTCTCTGAACATAATTATCCAAGCTGACATAAATACAGTTATTATAGGAAACATAATAAATGTGAAAAATCTCGCATATCGAAATTGTAAATGGAAAACATAAGTACGCGAAATGAAAGTCTTACTAAATGAGGTAGGCGAATAAGGAAACTTTTGTTTTATTAAATAAGACAATTTGAAACTGTTCTTTGTACGTCAGGGGGACAATAAAATGGATTCGAAACATGTTATGTAACTTTATATTATCTTCTACGGGAGATTGGACGATCTAAACAATAACGTGTTGGGATGTGTGAGAGATATCTCATCCTCGTTAATGATAATTATCGGACCTGCTAAGTCAGTAATATTGGGCTACGAATTACGCACGTGAGATGGATCTCATGGACTGGTGCTTGATATATAAAAAAGGTACTTTATATATATATATATATATATATTTAAAAAGAAAAGAAATTGAAAAGATGGAAATATTTCATAGTTCTTACAGACCGTCATTGGCCTTATTTAACAATATATTTATTTTCATTGTTTTCAATTTGAAACAATTCCAAACATTTCGCTTTCTCTTATTCCTCACCGCTATGAAGAATCTCTCCTTTTTGTTGACTTTCAAAATTAAAAATGTTTGTTTGGCAATATTTCAATCTATATCAGAATAAAGCACGATTCAACAAAATATTTGTGAGCACGTGGGCATTTTACTTGTTACAATATAGTAGGGATTATTAACATTTGTATTTGTGCATCTATTAAAATCATAGCCTCAATTAATACAATGTTATAATACTTGCCAACTTCATGGACTGATACTTAAAATGATATATACATGTATGTAAATGTTTATCTGTTTTTTAACAATAGCATCAGTGTAAACTTAAATATTGCTACATACATTTTTATTTTTAATGATATCTTTGGCACTTTTGAAACTAATACCCTATACATGCATCACGACAGCTGCCTGTTACACGAACTTGCATATATCACAGCATTTTCCAAGAACTGTAACATGACGGCGTTTTCAGGTAGTTAAGAACGAATGGCAATTTTAATACGAACGGACAGATAGCCAATATGTAAATACACATAACATTACAGCTCTTCCTGTTTTAACACAAATATTCTTCCTGATTAACTAAATGGTCTACCAGTACAAATCAAGTTGCAAGACTAGACACCCGTCTAGCTTGTTTACGTCATGGTATCTCACGCCGTCTCGGCGATTAACACTTTGCCGGGGGGCATCTCAGAAACCCTACATAGCGGAAGCTTTCTCCTTTCCATACAATACCGAAGGAATTGCTGGGTGTATAAAAGGGCAATATCCGTAGTCAATCGTCAGTATTTTGCAGCGCCAGTAAAGTAAGTACATGAAACTAAAGAGCTCTCTCTCTCTCTCTTGAGTGATTTTTGATAAACTTCGTTCTTAATATTAAGTCATACGCAATCAATTAAGATTTTTTTTTTTTTTTTTAGTTTCAATTAAGTTTTTGAAAAATATATATCATTTTGCATAGTGTGTTTTAGTTACAGTTAAGTTTAAAAAGACCGAAAAGAAATGTCAATTTGACATCCATATCGAGTAAACTACTTCTTTTGTACAGATATTCAGTAAAGATGAGAGCCGCCTGTGTCACACTTTTCGTTGTTGTCGCCGCCCTGGGCCTCAGCGCCTGTCTTGGACAGGATTGGGATGATGTTTACGATGACGATAACTACTATGGGGTTCCACAGTATTCGAGCGGCGGATATGCGACGAGTTACCCTCAGTATGGTGGAATGACTTACGGAAATGGATACGGACAGGGATACGGAAACGGAAAGGGATACGGAAAGGGATACGGACACGGTTACGGAAACGGAAAGGGATACGGAAAGGGCTACGGAAGGGTTGAGAGCACTGTTATCCGTACTCCCTACGTCGCCCCTATGTATCTGCCACCCCCACCTGCAGCGCCAGTGGGAGGATTCGGAGGATTCGGAGGAGGATTCGGAGGAGACGATGGCATTTTCGGTCAAAACAACGGTTTGAGTAAGTAGCCAAATTTCTGAAGCAGATGTTTCATACTTGATTCTTTAAATCAATTTAAAGAAAATAATGTTTTGCATGTCTGCTGTATTTTTAAACTACTAAAATGTTTTAAATGATTTTTATACTTCATATATGATAGCATTAGTTGGTGGAATTTGTTGTTTTATTTTAGATATATGATTAAAACATGTGAAATGGCTTGTTATGTGTAAGGAATTTTTCATTTCAACTTAAAATTAAAGTCTTAAATAACATTTATTTATATCATTGATATCTATATATAAACCTAACAGGTTTATTAATACCTATTACACAGACTTTGTAAAATATTTATTTACTAAATTTCGTTTCGCATTTTTCAGTCTTGATGCTTTTGCTTCTGCCGTTACTGCTCAGCAACTCCAACGGAGGACTGCTCGGTTAATTGGTTTATCCACCATGTTATTTATATCTCTGCAACTACTATCTATGTAAGTATCTCACAATCTCTATATGAAACATAGGCTAAGAGTAAGATACAATGTAATTTACATTGAAGGAAAAGGAGCATACATACAGACCAATGTCTTATATTAATTTTTGAAAAGAAAATTTTCCTGGAATAGAATAAATTACAAATATATAAATATTTCATGTAATGATATACATTCAAGGGCAAGCAACCCCTATTTTTACATTGACTAAATTATTTCAACAAAAATTAAATAAATATATATTCAAAGATACATGAATATATTTTAATCATATCAATAATGATTCTGTTTCTAATATGATGTGTTTTTCTCGTTTCAGATATCGCGCAATATCATGTTATGTTTGGTTCATCTGTGGAAATCCGTCTGTTCTTTGTTGTATTTAAATATTATTGTTGCTGCCGCTCATCGTTCATTAATAAAACATGTACAATAAACATTTGATTTTGAATTGATTTATGATACATACATATAGATTTTTGATATATGTTGTTTATTTCCAATTGTTTACGTTGGACATTTTGCTATAATTGAGGGGAATACATATTACTTCCCGCAAAATTGAACACGACTTTACTTTGACTACAATACAGCTTCTAGTTTCCATGACAATTTATATTCATATTTTATTTTTTATATATCATCGTTGACTTTAATGAGTGGTAATTAATTTGTATTGCTCTGAACTTTTCACAAAATGTCCAGTATAAAAAATGTGAATTCGAAATACCTATTATTGCTCACAAAGTGGAACAAGAGTTTATTTTCTAAAACACAGTTTTCCTTTTCATAAAAATAGATAAATTCATATCGTTTTTTTCATAAATGCATCATCATTCAATTTTGTGTATAGTAATATGTATTTCACTGTAACGAAATGCGTACGTTTAAACGACGTATGCCAGTGAAATGATGTCAAAAGTTCGAATCGGTTTCTGAAGCAGGAATGCGATATCAACAAACATCATTGTACTTGTTTTCACAACATTCACATTCCATGGAGTATAACTTTTATCCAGCGCTAGGTTTACTAAATTACTCTGTTTTACAAGTTCTCTCCAAATCAGAAACCATATGCGTTATATACGAACTGAAACATCACAAGAAAAGAAAAAGTTCCTATTCCGAAATCTTCTTGGAAATGAGAACATCCTGTCTACAACACTTTCAAGTAAAAGTGATGCTACCATGGCAGTAACCTAATTAGGGTATTCAAGAGCTGTAGTGTAATTCACATGTTTGAAATAACATGTATGTCATATAAACATGGACATATATATAATCTTATTGTGTATTTATATTTAACAACAGATGTTTTCCATTTTAAACACATCTTACGAAGCATTTTGCAGAATTACATAAATTCGGAAACGATAATACATACTATAAACAAGGACAGAAATTCCAATTGATCGTACCTCGACTTATCCACTGCTGACCGTGCACGAATCAATTAAAACTGTTTCTATCAATGAATCGTTAATGCAGAAGTAAATTGATTAGATTATTTTGGATAATATAAGCAAAGCGTACAACATACTAAAACATCACAGTTCATTTGTGATATAGTAAGCTGAGCGGGAATTCGGTATTTTGGTTATCGATATACCTTAAAACCAAAAGCAGAGTGTGTTTAATATGCTGAAATGGCTGACACGATATCTGGAGTTTCATCAGGATCTACATTGCGTGCCCTGCTTTTTCATCGTTTATTTCTATTTATTCATTCATTTAATAACAATAAGGAGATAATCTCAATCCATTTGCCAAAATTAATTTTTAGTTTATAAAAGTCAAATTTCCATCACGTACATACAAAAACAAACTTTTGAAAAAAAACCACCCACGTACACCTCTGCTGGTCATGGATACAATAATAATAAATTATATTTCTTCTCATAAGCTTTTGATTGGCGTATTAATATATAGCATGTCATATCAGTCGGTGCAGTCATAATAGAGTAAACAACGTGACATCATCGGAATGTATACATTTAACAATGTATTTATACATTTCACCAATGTATCTTTTGCATGAATACACTAATGAGTTGTACAAAACTTGTATCCCCGGTACTTCTGTTTACTATCGAAAATAGCAATGGAAACCCCCGGATTGTTGACGTACACATATGTACACGGTGTATGTATTACTACGTACACGAGAGTGACCGTCGATATCGAGTGATAATGACAATGACCTCAACAAAGGTTATTGAGTCAATTACACTTGAAACTGTAAATATTGTATTTTATCGATAAACAAGTTGGAGCGCGTGAGCACAGCGTTATGAGGAGAGTATTGTATTTTTCATATATTATTTGACTTAATAATTAGTATATTGACTGATGATTCCTTAAAATGTAACAGCGAGCAAATATAACACATTATTTAGTTCCATGAGATATTATTCATCCAATGAGGATGAAGGAAAATTTATTTCGTCTTACAATATACTTCATAGCAAAATTGACTTTCCTTCTAATGAGCCAGTATTAAAAACAAATGTATGGTTATGTATTATAAAAAAAAGTAAAAAATGTATCATTCATTTTTAACAATAACAATTTTGTACCATCTACAGTAAAATTGATTGTAATATTCAACGTTTCTTTCACTCCACCAGTTTGTACTCCAGATAAATGATGACTAAACCTTTGTTCTGTGGCGGCTTCTTATTTTGCTCTTGATCTCTTGTGTTTATACTATGATACCAAGTCCTTTATACACCTCTTTTAATTTGGTAACTTTTACTGCTTTAGATATAAAACAATTACATAGTTTGCTATCACACACAACGATATTAAGGAGATAATGTATATCAATGTTTATCACTTGTTATTTTATGAAATATTTCATTTATTTATTTATCATTTTTGTTTTTGTATAATTCATTAAATCAGTATGAATGGTCGGCCGGCAGAGTGGTAGCGTATTCACCTTCCGCCTAAATGAATGGGCTTGATTCCCTGATCGGACGTGAAAAGGTACAGGGTCACCTGTCCGTCCACTTGGGTGTCTCCGGGTATCCCGGTTTCCTCATACATTAAAATACCCTTGTGCGCTATATACTATACCACCAATGCCATAACGACTAATTAATTTAAGTTTCATAAATTTGTTTTATAATGTTGTTTATTAAGTAAAGTTTGAATTAATAATTATCATACGTATGTGCCAGTGACAGGAAGTGTAAACAAAAAATATTTTTATTGATCATTTGGAATCGTTTTGATCTTGTCACAAAATAATACATTAGGTTTCCAATACATTATATAAAAATTATATAAAAACCCAGCATTTGAGTTTCAATAACATCATACAGTTGGTCTGACACATATTATCAAGAGATTTGTTAACGTATTTGAAATTCGTTTTTTAATTTGAAATTTTTCCGAAAATGTAAACATACATATGCTATTCTATTAACAATTATTAATATTTAATTGCCTATATTCACTATTCAAAGTTCTTCACGTATTACTGTTTGGAATTTAAACATCTTGAAATTATTTCATGGAAAGATGCTACGTATAAGGAACAATGTTACTTTAAAGGCTAAACTAATTTAAATTACGTACATTCCTTGACCATATCGAAGTGGTGCTGTCAACGAAGTGGTACTGCTGTGAAGTAGAAGGAGACAGATATTGCAAGAAAAACAGGGAAACCAATAGGTTATATTCAATTCGCATATGTGAGTTATCAATGTTTTAAAAATGAAATTTCTTTACCAAATTCTACACTCTAAATCATAAAAAGTTGAAAAGGGATGATGTAAATACGTGGAAAGAACTAACTATGTTTTCAATTTTATCCATTTCCGGCGCAGTCGGTAACTCTTACTTTAGTATGAGGTTATTTGGAAGTGTACACTGTTGCTGCACATACTGTTGTGTTGCTCTTCGAATACATTTCGGCCTATGGACCCGGTTTTTTTTGAATTTGAGTCTTTAATTTATTGTAAGCTATAAGTAACAGATTTTTGGGGGGAAATTCGAAAGTTTGCGCCTGTTAGGGGAATTTCTGAAACGTATTTGAAAACGCAAATATCCTTATTAGTAGAAGGAGACAGATATTGCAAGAAAAACAGGGAAACCAATAGGTTATATTCAATTCGCATATGTGAGTTATCAATGTTTTAAAAATGAAATTTCTTTACCAAATTCTACACTCTAAATCATAAAAAGTTGAAAAGGGATGATGTAAATACGTGGAAAGAACTAACTATGTTTTCAATTTTATCCATTTCCGGCGCAGTCGGTAACTCTTACTTTAGTATGAGGTTATTTGGAAGTGTACACTGTTGCTGCACATACTGTTGTGTTGCTCTTCGAATACATTTCGGCCTATGGACCCGGTTTTTTTTTTTTGAATTTGAGTCTTTAATTTATTGTAAGCTATAAGTAACAGATTTTTGGGGGGAAATTCGAAAGTTTGCGCCTGTTAGGGGAATTTCTAAAACGTATTTGAAAACGCAAATATCCTTATTTATCGTAGATACAGCAAATATACCATATCTAGACGTTTTGTAGAAATTAAACTGTTTAGCTATGCTTCGTCAGTTTTCACATTTCAAGACAATGTATGTATCAACGCAATGTCTGTAACTTTGAAATTTGATGAGTTCAAATAACCACCTTCTTTTGGGAAATATCTGTGCTTGTCTTCTTCTGTGATTGAGGTTCTTTTTCCTAATACATTTGTACTATATCTATCAACATTCAAAGAAATGGCTCCGAATTATACGCACATTGGACGTTTGAGTAATATTTCATAGCATTAACTAAACGGTGCTCGGAGATAGTGGAATACCCAGATCATTTACAAAGTATGTATAAACTACCTTTGAAAATAATTGTAGAATGTTGCAAACTGAAAACCTGTTTCCGATTCAAACCACTCTTGACGAAAGTCTTATTTAAAATTGAAAACATAAGTCGAATTCCCAATATATTTCAAATTGAGAGAGAATATTTTGTTGTAATGACTACAAAGTGTCCAAAGGAACATGTAATAATCACTTAAACATGTAATACCCGATATTTGAGAAAATGTGTCAACGTTTATGTTCCATTAAAAACTAAAACCGTACACCTAATGATATCGTTTTCATGGTAACTATTTTACAAATTTACATTTATACCCCTTATTATCAAATAAACAACTACCTGTTTTAGGATAACACTTGTTTGAATATGAAAATATACATTATTATTAATTACACAAGCGACATGTTTCAGGAAAAATAATACTTATAGTGAAATGAAAACAAACCTTATTTTTAAATATACAAGCTACCATTTTAAGGATTACAATGATTTTCTTAAAATTGAAAATATGCAAGTATCCCATTTTCGTTGTTTGCTACTCATCACTTCGAACAAAAAGATGATGCTATTTTGTTTTCGTTCATATCAACATTAATGCCAAAGATTTCATCGTAATTCAATTTAACATGTATGATCATTCCGAAATTTACAATAAATACAATGTAAACAAGCTTTAAAACAAATTTTATCTAATCTTATTTAATATACCTTCAGTCGGACTTTGTGGTTAAATGTAACGTCTTGCAATTAATTAATTAATATAAAATACTACAAAACAATTTATGTACCATTAACAAATTGATAAAAAAAGAACAGATTTATATGTGGAAAGGACTTGTAGTGACTTCTGTTGTTAAAAATGCTAGCCTGCAAATTGATATATTGCGAAGGGAACTACACGAAATATGTTTCAACAGATATTTGTTTGAAAGAGATACAGTTTTACTTTTTAATCTGATTACGTATCAAAATAACACGGCAGCTTTCTGCTACGAGAGCTAACCTATTTCTCAACATATTACATGAAATGTAACATGTCCATAAGTTAACTAATAGCAAACGCCACTGCCAATACTCTTCCCGTTTCAACGAAACCCTTGATGGCTTACCTGTAGAAAGAATTGCACAAGGTTAGACACCCGTCTGGCGTGTTTACAGCATTGCATGCATCATGTCGGTTGGAGATAGTAAGGAATGTGCCGAAGGGCATCTAAAAAACGAAGTATAGCGGAAGCCGTTTCTTTTTCACATGGCATTGGAGGAATCGCTGAGTGTATATAAGGGGTATATCCCAAGCCAATCGTCAGTATTTTACACCGTCAAGTGAGGTAAGTATACACAAAGCTTCACGATTTCTGAAAAGTTCTCCTCATATTTACAAACCAATATGTGATATTATGTTTGTTTAGTTTATATTTGGAAATTACAATTTAGCCTTATATTTTTAACTTTGATATATATATTTCTATATTTTGAAGCAAATTCCTTTAATGCCTTTCGCTTGACAGTATGCTTTGTTTTCTGTGTTACAGATATTCCGCCAATATGAGAACCGCCTGTGTCACCCTTTTTGTTGTCGTCGTCGCCCTGGGCCTCAGCGCCTGTCTTGGGCAGGAGTGGGATGATGTTTACGATGACGATAACTACTATGGTGTTCCACAGTATTCGAGTGGCGGATATGCGACGAGTTACCCTCAGTATGGTGGAATGACGTACGGAAATGGATACGGACAGGGTTACGGACACGGAAAGGGATACGGAAAGGGATACGGAAAGGGCTACGGAAGGGTTGAGAGCACTGTTATCCGTGCCCCTTACGCAGCGCCTATGCCAATGTATATGCCACCCCCACCTGTAATGCCCGTGGGAGGATTCGGAGGATTCGGAGGAGACGATGGCATTTTCGGTCAAAACAACGGTTTGAGTAAGTAGTTGAAATGTCTGAAGCAGATGTTTCATACACTTTTCTTTAAGTCAAGTTATAGAAAAAAAATGTTTTGCATGTCTGCTGTATTTTTAAACTACTAAAATGTTTTAAATGATTTTTATACTTCATATATGATAGCAATAATTTATGGACTTTTTGGTTTAGATTTATGATTACAAAATGTGAAATGGCTTGTTATGTGTAAGGAACTTTTAAACATTTCAACTTAAAATTAAAGTCTTAAATAATATTCACGTATATCATTGATATCTATATATAAACCTAACAGGTTTATTAACACCTATTACACAGACTTTGTAAAATATGTATTTAATAAATTTCGTTTCGCATTTTTCAGTCTTAATGCTTTTGCTTCTGCCATTACTGCTCAGCAACTCCAACGGAGGACTGCTCGGTTAATTGGTTTATCCACCATGTTATTTATATCTCTGCAACTACTAGATATGTAAGTATCTCACATTCTCTATATGAAACATATGCTTAGAGTAAGATACAATGTAATTTACATTGAAGGAAAAGGAGCATACATACAGACCAATGTCTTATATTAATCTTTGAAAAGAACATTTCCTGGAATAGAATAAATTACAAATATATAAATATTTCATGTAATGATATACATTCAAGTGCAAGCAACCCCTATTTTTACATTGACTAAATCATTTCAACAAAAATTAAATAAATAAATATTCAAAGATACATGAATATATTTTAATCATATCAATAATGATTCTGTTTCTAATATGATGTGTTTTTCTCGTTTCAGATATCGCGCAATATCATGTTATGTTTGGTTCATCTGTGGAAATCCGACTGTTCATTGTTATATTTAAATATTATTGTTGATGCCGCTCATCGTTCATTAATAAAAACATGTACAATAAACATTTGATTTTGAATTAATTTATGATACATACATATAGATTTTTGATATATGTTGTTTATTTCCAATTGTTTACGTTAAATATTTTGCTATAATTCAAGGGAATACATATTATTTCCGCAAAATTGAACACGATTTTAGTTTGACTACAATACAGCTTCTAGTTTCCATGAAAATGTATCTTCACATTTTATTTTTTATATATCATCGTTCAGTTTTATGAGTGGTAATTACTATGTATTGCTCTGAATTTTTAACAAAATCTTCAGTATAAACAATGTGAATTCGAAATATATATTATTGCTCACAAAGTTGAACAATAGTTTATTTTCTAAAACACAGTTTTCCTTTTCATAAAAATAGATAAATTCATATCGGTTCTTTTCATAAATGCATCATTATTCATTTTTTTTTGTATAGTAATATGCATTTCACTGTAACGAAAATGCGTACGATCAAACGACGTATGCCAGTGAAATGATGTCAAAAGTTCGAATCGGTTTCTGAAGCAGTAATGCGATATCAACAAACATCATAGTACTTGTTTTCACACCATTCACATTCCATGGAGTGTAACTTTTATCCAGCGCTAGGTTTACTAATTTACTCTGTTTTACAAGTTCTCTCCCAATCAGAAACCATATGCGTTATATACAAACTGAAACATCACAAGAAAAGAAAAAAATCCTATTCCGAAATATTCTTTGAAATGAAAACATTCTGTCTACAACACTTTTAAGTATAAGTGACCTAATTAGGGTATTCAAGAGCTGTAGTGTAATTAACATGTTTGAAATAACATGTATGTCATATAAACATGGACATATATATAATCTTGGTGTATATTTATGTTTAACAACAGATGTTTTCCATTTTAAACACATCTTACGAAGCATTTTGCAGAATTACATAAATTCGGAAACGATAATACATACTATAAACAAGGACAGAAATTCCAATTGGTCGTACCTCGACTTATCCACTGCTGATCGTGCACTGATCAATTAAAACTGTTGCTATCAATGAATCGTTAATGCAGCAGTAAACTAAAAAGAAAAAAACATTCTATATCACCAGGCAAAGTATCTTTCAACCAGATATTACAATTTCTCTTTGGAAAACAAAAAAATGGAAAGAAGAAGAAGTTAAACTGTTCCTCACGATTACAACTTGTACAGTAGTACCTTTACCTTAACCTATTATTAACTTAGTAACCTTGTGTCAGTAAATAGTAACTATTGGCCGAGGAATTGTGCTAATATGAACTATAAATTGTCAGCCATTCGTGATCAAACCCAATATTCATGTTATTCAACGCCATAGTCTCAGTAGCGCCTCCCAGTCCTTATCTGTTGGCTTGCCAAATATCTTGTCTAACCTAGCGCTATTTGCCTGTTATAGTCATTTAATGCATTCCCTGTAGCTCGTCCCGCATATTACCTTAGAGATAAGGGAGAGCCTTGATGTGGACACTAGTGTTATAGTTTGCAAGGCAGTGATTCTTTTCCGGTAATAAATAAATTAGATTATTTTGGGTAATATAAGCAAAGCGTACAACATACTAAAACATCACAGTTCATTTGTGATAAGAATAAGCTGAGCGGGAATTCGGTATTTTGGTTATCGATATACCTTAAAACCAAAAGCAGAGTGTGTTTAATATGCTGAATAGGCTGACACAGTATCTGAAGTTTCATCAGGATCTTCATTGCTTTTTCATCGTTTTATTTCTATTTATTCAACCATTTAATAACAATAAGGAGATAATTCAATCCATTTGTCAGAATTAATTTTCAGTTTATAAAAGTTAAATTTCCATCACGTACATACAAAAACAAACTCTTGAAAATAACAACACTCACGTACACCTCTGCTGGTCATGGATACAATAATAATAAAATATATTTCTTCTCATAAGCTTTTTCGGCGTATTAATATATAGCATGTCCTGTCAGTCGGTGCAGTCATCATAGAATAAACAACGTGACGTCATCGGAATGTATACATTTNATACACTAATGAGTTGTACAAAACTGGTATCCCCGGTACTTCTGTTTACTATCGAAAATAGCAATGGAAACCCCCGGATTGTTGACGTACACATATGTACACGGTGTATGTATTACTACGTACACGAGAATGACCGTCGTTATCGAGTGATAATGACAATGACCTCAACAAAGGTTATTGAGTCAATTACACTTGAAACTGTAAATATTGTGTTTTATCGATAAACAAGATGGAGCGCGTGAGCACAGCGTCATTGGAAAGGATTTTTGTTTTCATATATTATTTGACTTAATAATTAGTATATTGACTGATGATTCCTTAAAATGTAACAGCGAGCCAACATAACACATTATTTAGTTCCATGATATATTATTCATCCAATGAGGATGAAGGGAAATTTATTTCGTCTTATAATATGCTTCATAGCAAAATTGACTATCCTTCTAATGAGCCAATATTAAAAACAAATGTATGGTTATGTATTATAAAAAAAAGTAAAAAATGTATCATTCATTTTTAACAATAACAATTTTGTACCATCTACAGTAAAATTGATTGTAATATTCAACGTTTCTTTCACTCCAACAGTTTGTACTCCAGATAAATGATGACTAAACCTTTGTTACGCGCCGGCTTCTTATTTTGCTCTTGATCTCCTGTCATTATACTATGATACCAAGTCCTTTATACACCTCTTTTAATTTGGTAACTTTTACTGTTTTAGATATAAAACAATTACATAGTTTGCTATCACACACAACGATATTAAGGAGATAATGTATATCAATGCTTATCACTTGTTATTTTATGAAATATTTCATTTATTTATTTATCATTTTTGTTTTTGTATAATTCATTAAATTATTATGAATGGCCGGCATAGTGGTAGCGTACTCACCTTCCACCTAAATGAATGCGCTTGATTCCTTGATCGGACGTGAAAAGGTACAGGGTCACCTGCCCGTCCACTTGGGTGTCTCCGGGTATCCCGGTTTCCTCATACATTAAAAAACCCTTGTGCGCTACATACTATACCACCAATGCCATAATGACTAATTAATCTAAGTTTCATAAATTTGTTTTATAATGTTGTATATTAAGCAAAGTTTGATTTAATAATTATCATACTTATGTGCCAGTGACAGGAAGTGTAAACAAAAATTATTTTTATTGATCATTTGGAATCGTTTTGTTCTTGTCACAAAATAATACATCGGGTTTCCAATACATTATATCAAAATTATATAAAAACCCAGCATCTGAGTTTTAATAACATCATACAGCTTGACTGATACATGTTATCAAGAGATTTTTTAACGTATTTAAAATTCGTTTTTTAATTTGAAATTTTTCCGAAAATGTTAATATACATATGCTATTCTATTAATAAGTATTTATATCTAATTGCTTATATTCACTGTTCAAAGCTCTACACGTATTCCTATTTAGAATTAAACGTCTTGAAATGATTTCATGGAAAGATGCTACGTATAGGAAACAATGTTACTTTAAAGGCTAAACTAATTTAAATTACATACATTCCTTGACCATATCGAAGTGCTGCTGTCAACGAAGTGGTACTGCTGTGAAGTAGAAGGAGACAGATATTGCAAGAAAAACAGGGAAACCAATAGATTATATTCAATGCGTATATGTGAGTTATCGATGTTTTAAAAATAAAATTTCTTTACCGAATTCTACACTCTAAATCATAAAAAGATGAAAAGGGATGATGTAAATACGTGGAAAGAACTAACTATGTTTTCAATTTTATCCATTTCCGGCGCAGTCGGTAACTCTTACTTTAGTATGAGGTTATTTGGAAGTGTACACTGTTGCTGCACATACTGTTGTGTTGCTCTTCGAATATATTTCGGCCTATGGACCCGGTTTTTTTTTGGAATTTGAGTGTTTAATTTATTGTAAGCTATAAGTAACAGATTTTTTGGGGGAAATTCGAAAGTTTGCGCCTGTTAGGGGAATTGCTGAAACGTATTTGTAAACGCAAATATCCTTATTTATCGTAGATACAGCAAATATACCATATCTAGACGTTTTGTAGAAATTAAACTGTTTAGCTATGCTTCGTCAGTTTTCACATTTCAAGACAATGTATGTATCAACGCAATGTCTGTAACTTTGAAATTTGATGAGTTCAAATAACCACCTTCTTTTGGGAAATATCTGTGCTTGTCTTCTTCTGTGATTGAGGTTCTTTTTCCTAATACATTTGTACTATATCTATCAACATTCAAAGAAATGGCTCCGAATTATACGCACATTGGACGTTTGAGTAATATTTCATAGCATTAACTAAACCGTGCTCGGAGATAGTGAAATACCCAGATCATTTACAAAGCATGTATAAACTACCTATAAAAATAATTGTAGAATGTTGCAAACTGAAAAACTGTTTCCGATTCAAACCACTCTTGACCGAAGTCTTATTTAACATTGAAAACATAAGTCGAATTCCCAATATATTTCAAATTGAGAGAGAATATTTTGTTGTAATGACTACAAAGTGTCCAAAGGAACATGTAATAATCACATAAACATGTAATACCCGATATCTGAGAAAATGTGTCAACGTTTATGTTCCATTAAAAACTAAAACGTACACCTAATGATATCGTTTTCATGGTAACTATTTTACAAATTTACATTTATACCCCTTATTATCAAATAAACAAACTACCTGTTTTAGGATAACACTTGTTGGTACATGAAAATATACATTATTATTAATTACACAAGCGACTTGTTTCAGGAAAATAATACTTATAGTGAAATGAAAACAAACCTTATTTTTAAATATACAAGCTACCATTTTAAGGATTACAATGGTTTTCTTAAAATTGAAAATATGCAAGTATCCCATTTTCGTTGTTTGGTACTCATCACTTCGAACAAAAAGATAATGCTATATTGTTTTCGTTCATATCAACATTAATGCCAAAGATTTCAACGTAATTCAATTTAACAT